GGGCGGAGGGCGGAGGGCAAGGGGATGCTTGCGCGTTGGTATAAAGCGCTGCCACAACACGATTGAGCGCCTGCTGAGAGCGGGCCAGCAGCGCAATAAGTCAGCACGCTGCAGCTGCGCTGCGAGCTCACGTCAGTCGCTGTCGCCGCATCCACGGCACCGGCGCCGTCCTCAGCCCTGCCCGGCGTCCCCGTTGCGCCGCCGCCCGCGCCGCCGCCCCCAGCCACAGCCACCGGCGCCCCGCCGCCGCCAATGCTGGTCGGCGCCCGCGGCGCGCTGCCTCCGCCTCCACCCTCCGCGCCGCCCAACCCCGCCGCGAGCGCCGCCGCCGCCACCGGCGCCGCCGGCACGGCCCCGCGCTCCGCCGACGCCCCGTCGAGCGGCCCGCCGCGCTTTTCCGCGCCCGGCGCCGGCGACAGCACGGGCGTCGGCGGCTTGCTGGGCAGGATGTGCCTGAACACAGGGATGTGCTCCGCCCTTGGCCGCTGGTACAGCTCGTGCATGACCCTTACGACCTCAAACATCCCCGCCTCCTCCACGCCAAACACCCGCCACCACGGCGGCTCCTCGGGCAGCGCGACGTGCAGGCGGCGCGCGGCGTAGAAGATGGCGCCGCAGGCGATGACGTGGGGCCGGAATCGCAGGCACAGCGTGGTGCGCAGGCTGGGGGAGACGGCAGGAGGGTTGCGCACCGAAGGGGTGTGGTCACGTTGGGTTCAGTCGTCAGGCAGTGTGGAGTGCCAGTGCGTTGGTCTGCGCTTGGTCTACTTGAGATGCAGCTCAAGTCGCCGCCCCAGTTGAAGATGTAATGCTGGGGCAACGGGTGGCGACCCCCAAAAGAGGGCGTGCAGGTTTGGGGGCCGCGGCAGCAGGTCGGGGCTCAGAGGTTGCTGTATGAATAGGTTGTCTCGACATAGATGGATTCAGGAGTCGATCCTAAGGTGATTAGTCATCACAGCACCCGACCGCTCATAGAATACATCACACTTCTGAATGGACCATGTGTGACCTCCTTCGTTGAAGTGACATACAAGTTGCAGCCGCGCACCGCCTTCCCCTTCCTCACACACACACGCACACGCACACACACACGCGGCGGGTCGGGACTCAGAGGTTGCTGTATGAATAGGTTGTGTCGACATGGCTTGAATTCAGGAGTCGATCCTAAGGTAATCAGTCATCACAGCACCCGACCGCTGATAGAATACACCGCACACATCTGGATGGATCACGTGTAAGCCTCCTTCGTTGAAGTGACATTCAAGTGGCAGCCGTGCACCGCCTCCCCCCCCCACACACAAACACACACGCACACACACACACACACACACACACACACACACAAACACAAAGCCGCGAGCGCGTGTGCACACAAACACACACACACTCTCTCACACACACACACACACATGTGTGCACGCACACAAAGAAAACACATGCAGACGCACCTGTCGTTCACGATGCTCCACGCCTCCTGCATCAGCGCGTGGTGCGCCGTGTCGGCGCGTATGACCTGGCAGTAGTTGAGCATCTGCTTGTGGGGGTGGTGCACGTGCGTTATGAAGCCGAAGGCCTTGAGCATCTCCCGCTCGTAGCGCACCAGGGCCTCGCGGAATGAGGCGTACGCCTGTGGTTGGATGAGGGTGTTGGTTTTGGTGGGGGTGACGGTGGGAGCAGGGTTGAGGTTGGCATGCGGGTGGGTGGCGGATCCGACATGGTCGCGGGGGCATGGCAGGTTTGGCTGTGTAAAGGGCAGAGCGGGGGATAGTCGGGCCTTCCTCAGGCCTGAAAGCGACCGAGCCAACAAGGGGAGAAGACAGTCTGAATGTTTCATCCCCAGGAAACGCACGCCCAGCAGCCGCAAGGAAAGGTTGCGACACCATGAGCCGCCACATGCTCACGCCCACGCGCGCGCCTCCGCGCCGGCAGCGAACCGCATCAGGTGTGGGCGCGCGGTGTCGCACCGCCGCTCAGGACACGACAAATACTCCAGGCAACGCATATGCGACTCCCCCCCATCGCAACCCCTGGCAGCCGGCGCTGCCGTAAGCAGCCCCCCCTTCCACACGCGTGCGCACACATATGCGTGCGTGCGCGCGCACACACACACACACCACACACACACCCACCTTTGACGACAGCTCCAGCAGCGACGGCTTTGCGTCCTCCCGCCGCGAGCAGATGCGGTCCACCGTGACCAGCACCTTGCGCACCAGCTTCTCAGGGTGCTGCGACACCTCCGGCACCTCCTCCAGCTTAGCGCCCAGCCACAGCGCCGTGGCCGCCACTTTCTGAGGGGCCAAGGCGGTCGGGAGGGCCCGGGGGTCGGTTGACGGCGCGGCCTGGTGTGGGGGCCGCTGCGCTGCAGTTGCAAGGGGATGCTGCAGGCACCTTGTCGCTCCGCACACAGGAGAGTGTGGCGGCACGGCGCTGACATCGCTCTTCCGAGCAAACGCTGACGGGCGCCGCCGCTTTCTAAAATCTACAAATCCCTCAAAACTTCTGCCACAGGCCAGAGCTCGCCCCCCACCCCCTTTATCGTTCAGCAACAGCCACACCAACACCCTCCTGTGCCCTGCCCTCCGCAACCCCCACCTTCACGTTGAAGTCCTTCATTGAGCGCTTGCAGTAGAACCTGTGGAACAGCACCTGCCCGGTGGCCATTGCCGCCTGCGGGAACTGCAGCAGGATGCCGGCCTCCTGGATGAGATCGCACCCGTAGACCCGCAGCGTCGTCTCCGTCTCCCTGTCAATGCCATGCTGCCGGCTGGGGCTGTTCTCGAGCTCCTCATCTGATAGGTAGAAGTTGTCGAGGATGCTAAGGGGCATGCCGCCGCCACACGGGCGCGGTCGCGCCGCCCAGGCGTCGGGGACGGGCGCGGCGCCGCTTCTCGGGGGGCTGCCGGCTGCACGCTGCCTGAGCCGTCACACTGTGCCCAAGCGGAACTGCCAGTGGCCGCGGCGGCAGCAGCAGCGCAATGCCAAGCCCACCTGAGTAGACGCAGGAGGAAGCCGGTTGGTGCGACTGCATGCATCGATCAGGCAGCGCGATGCCCCACACCACGACGCAGGCATCCAGGCATCCGTTATAAGCTTCCGATGCCTCTTGAGGACGCAGACAGAGCCTTGTGCATACACCAGTTCCCGCACCTGCGCTGGAGCTGCGTTTGGAATACTTCGTCCGGCTGATCTAATCGGTGCTGCCTCCTAGTGCCTCTCGATACACATCATCTAATTTCCCAGATGCGCGTATGCAAGAGCTCGTATGCACGGCAGATCACTTTCTGTGGGCGCGCTTGGTGTGGTAGAGCTATGGCGCCTTGCGCAGCGAATGGACGTGAGCGAAACAAAGTAAGAATTTGGCACAGGTGTGTCGGCAGTGCCGTGCATTCGTTGTGCACCATTGCGGTTCCACAGCAGCTGCACCACCACCACCTGCCCGCACCACGCTGCACCGGCGCGAGCTGTGCCACCCTGGGAGCCGGTCAAGTGCATGGCCTGAAAGATCACCCTTTCTGAATCCCATCTTCAAGTACAGCTCAGCAGTTCAAGGCATATGCTTGCAAGACTGCCGCACTCGGAGCTTGTCGGAAAATGCGAGCTGCTTTGACGTATGCTGGGTCGCGCACCACAAGTATCACGTTGCCTGAAATAACTATTATGCAGCTCAAATGATCACACCGGTTTCCCGCTGCAGCTGCTGGAACGAGATCAATGTCAAAGCAGCAGCCTATGATACCACTTTGGGCAGCTGCAGCCGCGTGCTGGGCTGTCTCGGTATCTTACGTACTGTCCTTGTACGTGTGGCGTCCCCATCCGGGCGGCCGGCAGCACCCAACTGTGATCATCCGCCGCATTGTCAGTGTCTCCTGCGTGAGCGCGGTCGCCTGGCTGCCCGCCGCCTTCTTCGACGCCCAGGTGGGCATGCTGTTTCTTGCATACGCCTCGACTAACGGTTCCACAAGTTTCCATGCTTACTCCCCACTAACCCTAGGCGCTGACCGAGCGTCGCAATTGCCCGCTGGATTGCCCTGACGCTCACTCCGATCCGCAGCGTGCGCCAACCTCGGAGCGGCCAGCGGCTGGCACCCTCGAGCTCCTCGGCCTGCGGCTTGACGGCGCAGCACCCGCCGCCGCCCTCCCTCTACTGGTACTTGCCTTGCTGTACCTGGGGCCCTTGTTGCACCTGGCCACCAGCCACGCCGCACGAGATTCACACCCGACGTTTGCGGCGATCAGGCAGGCGCTCGACGGCGGCTGCAGCGGTGGCGGGGCGGCTGCAGTGCGGCTGCAGCTGCTCCGGGATCTCATGATCGCGCCGGCGGCTGAGGAGTGGGTGTTTAGGGCTTGCATGGTGCCGCTGTTGTGGCTTGCGGTGAGCTGGGTCGAGCAGGTCAGTGCACACCTGCTGCTGCTGCCTCGCAGGCTGTCCTCGCGCAGCTTTCCTGTCTGCCCCACCACACTCTTGCAGATAGCCCTTTGCTGCAACCAAAGCTGCATGTGGGCGCGCTGGTGCTGCTGTGAGCCCCCACTGTCTGCCTTGAAACACGCCGCCCCATTGCCACCAATACCCCAAACAGGGCGTCCCGCGTCTCGCCATCATCCTGTGCACGCCGCTGTTCTTTGCCAGCGCCCACCTGCATCATCTGAGGGAGCTGACGCACGTGCAGGGATTTGCAATGAACCAGGCGATTGCCGTGGTGCGTGGCTGCGTGCCAGGGAAAACCAGTGGTACGCCAAGGGCGAGACCCGCATCCCACAAGCACGGCTGCAACAGCTAAGCATCGACCTCACCCAGGAGCAGGAGGGAGGTCAGGACATCAGGACCGATGGCAGCGCAGTTTGGGCAGCGCAGAAGGGCAACTACGGCTGCTTGCTGCAACAGCATGCACGCAGCGACAGGGCGCCGCGGCACCCCTCACACACTGATCGTGGACCGCGCCGGCCCCATCAATTGCAGGTGCTCTTCCAATTCGTCTACACAACGATGTTTGGCTGGCTCGCCACGTGGATTTTTCTGTCCACAGGCCACGCGCTCGCACCGGTACTGGTTCACGCTGCCTGCAATGCGCTGGGCGTGCCGCCTTTTGCGGAGATGGGGGCGCTGCGGCTGAGGGGCATGCCGGTGCTGCTGGTGGCGACCGCGGCCGGCGTGGTGCTGTTCTGGCGGCTGTCTGGGCTGCTGCTGCACCCTGGGCTATATGGAGGCCATGTTTACGCAATGGCAGGGTGAAGGGTGCGTGCTGCAGGCTTCAGGGCGCTCCTTGCTTGCGAGTTTGCAGCATGTGCACAGCGCAACAGCTCTGTTCAACGCCATGGGGGCGTGGGTTTTGCTTCCTCACCGCGCTGCAACGCGTGGGTCAACCTGTACATGTGTGCACGCGTATACAGGCGTATATGCGTATGTAGACTATGCCAGCGCAAACTACGGGGAATCCCACAGGCAAACTTTTTCCTGCCTACTGCTGTTGTTAGTGGTACGCATTACAAATGCGTGCGCGACGGGTGCCCTCCCAGTATCGCTTTCGCCTGGCTTTAGTGCCACTGCGGTGTCGCTCCCGGCGGCCGCCATCACCCTTCTTACAACAACAAGGCCCTGACAGGGGCCCTCCCTACTACGCGGCAACGTCCAGTCCATGCTTGCATTCCCACAGCAAGGGCCAGATGTGTTGAGGGTGGGTCAAGATATGGGTAGTCACTTGCACATAAGATAATGCGACACATGCCTTTGCGGGCATACTGGTCATAAAACGTATATCATGGTCGAGCATTCGTTGTTGTTTTGTTCGCACATCACACCTGTGACAGGCGCCCGCCCTCACCCTCGGATTGCCAGCTGCCGCCGTCTTCCGCTGCGTCCCTCCCGCCGCTGCCGGCGGCGCTGCGGGTCGGACGACGCAGTGCGGGCGCCGCGGGCGCGGGCTTGACGCTGCCGAGGCGCCTGGTGAGCTCCTCGAGCCGCTCATCCATTGCGATCTGGTGTGATCTGAGGTCTTGGAACAACGCCGCGATGTCCTGATGCTTCTGGGCAATCACCTGCGCAATACAACATAAGGTGGTGGCAGGGATGAGGATGATTGCCAACGGCCACTGCGCAGTGTGGTGTGTGTTCGGACCCCCCCTGGCGCATGGTCTTGTCGGCAGGCTGTTGAGCCTGCTGAATAAGCAGTAGAGTGCAGGTTTCCAAGTGCAAGCTCAGCCGGCAGTGGCAGACAAAACCGGTTCCCTGCGCCCTGAGCACGCCCTCATGCGTGTGCATACGTGCACCACGTGCATGTACACATCTGCAACCCCCTTGCCTTTTCAACAAATACCATACACATGCACGCGCGCACACTCACGCACGTCTGCTTGTGCATGTGAGTGCACGTGCACCGCCCCTCACGCGCATACAGGCATACACACGCGCACACAAGCCCACATACGCACGCGCTCGCACACGCGTGCGCACGCGCGCGCGCACACACACACACACATACACGTGCAAACACACATACACACACACTCTCAAACACTCAGAGTTCATTAAACACACCTTGACAACATCCGCCGTTGTCTGTGCTGTTGCTTGCACGCGGTTCTCCACCTCCGCCAGCCGCATTGGCAGCTGCGCGGCAGTCGCCGCGTAGCACTCTGCCAGCTGGCTCGCCATCGCCTCGCACACCTCTGACAGCGCCGTCACCCGCAAAGATATGCTCTGGAGGTGGCAGGAGGAGGATGCGTAACTGCATGTTTTTTAGGGGACAAGAGGGGGGAGATGACGACAGCACTTCGCATACATAACGATTGTCATAACAGCATTGTGACATCAGCTCCAATATGCATATCAGCAAGCAGCCGCAAGGCTACCAAGAGGCAACACCCACTGCCGTGCATTAATCCAACTGACCTCTGCCCCGCTGCTGCGCCCAGTGCCATCGCCAGGCGTCTGGAGGCCGCGCCCGCCGCCGCCAGTGCTCAGCGCCGCCGCCTCGCCCCTCAGCTCATGCAGCTCCCGCTGCAGCGCCGCCACCTGCCGCCCCTGCTGCTCCTGCTGCCACGCCAGCCGCCGCTGCTCGTCCGTGGCCGAGGGGTTTCCATCGCCTTTGGCTGCTGCCGCCTCGTCCACCACCAGCTGCAACTGTGCCACCTTGAACTCCAGCCCGTCCAGCCGTTGCTCGGTAGCTTCTGTGTTGCCGCCACCCCCCTCCGAGTCTGAGCGGCCGGCTCGCTGCGCGTCCCCGGCTGCCGCCGCAGCTGCGGACGCCGCAGCGGTGTCCTCAACGTGCTGTTCCAGGCGCGCCTCCAAGTGCCGCGCCTGCTCCTCACGCAGCTCCCCTCTCAGCCGGTGCTGCTCGTCCCACTGGCGCGCGCGCTCGCCAGCCAGCCGGGCCTCCAGTGCGCGTCGATCCTCCTCCAACGCAGCATGCAGCTGCTCCTCGGCCGCCACCCGGGCCGCCATGCGCTCCTCCGTCAACGCGACAACATCCTTCAGGCTGCCAGACACGTGCTGTTGCTGTTGCTGCTGCTGCTCCTGCAGCTGCTGCTGCCCAGCTTCCAGGGCTGCCACCCTCCTCTGCAGCTCTCCCAGCGCCGCCGTCTGCTGCGCCTCGAACTGCTGCCGCGCCTCCAGCTCGTCAAGCCGTTGCTGCAGCTGCGTGGTTGCCGCGTGCAGCTGCTCCGAAGCTTCCTGACGGCAAAGCTGCAGCGACTCCGCGATGCCCTCGACCCGCGGGCGCAGGTGCGCGACTGCTCTCATGACCGCCTCGCTTATGCCTGCCATCGCAACGTCGGCACTTGCAGCTGCTGCGCCGTCTGGTGCGGGTGTGCTAGCGGCTGCCGCTGCTGCAGCAGCCGCGGGGCAGGAAATGTCCGCGCGGGCTGCCTGCATGGCTGCTGCCGGCTGGGAAGGCGCACGCTGCGCCTCAGCGACGGCCTGCGCAAGCTCCAGAGAGGAGTGCAGCGCTGGCTGCTGCTGCTGCTGCTGCTGCTGCTGCTGCTGCTGCGTTGTCTCTCCTCGCACAACCGCAGCCTCAGCAGCCGCCGCTGACTGCCGTTCTCGGATTTGTTGCAGCTGCAGCTGCGCCAGCGCGCCCCGCAGCGGGCTCGGACCCGGGGTGCGCTTCACTGGGGCAGGCCTGGGCGACGTGTCGGGGGTCCCAGCAATGGCCCATTGGCCTGCCTCGACCTGGCCATCCATGTTGCCAGCCGTCGAAACAGCCGCACTCACGCAGCTGCAGCCGCCGCCATTCACCCGCTCGCCGGCATCGCTTGCACCACCCCAATATCCGGATGGCCCCGACCTGTCCAGCGCTTGCTGGCGGACCGGCGACATGGCCGATGCGATGGCACGCAAACGCGTGTCGACCGCCTGGCTCGAGGGGCTGCCGGGCTCTGCGGATTGTCGCAGCGGCGGCCGCGCACCGCGCTGCACGGAGCCAATGATCACGTCATCATCCCCTCTTGTCTCATCGCCGCCTGTCGCTCGAGGCGCCCACCCCGGGGCCATGGGTGATCCCGACGCATGCCCAGCACTCCTCGCAGCTGCTCGAATAGCTTCCGGGCTGCCGGCGGCCTCAACGTGCGTGTCTGGGTGAAACGCCAACGCTCGCGCCAGAGGGGAGCCGGGGCCGTCAATGCACGGTCCAGACACCCCCGGCTGCGGCGGCGCAGGCGCCTCCCTAGGTAGGCTGGCAGGGGCGCGGCTGGCGCCTGCCTCGGCCGCCTGCGCGTGCTGCGCCGTCGGCTGCCGCACCCAAGGCGAGCTGGCGGGCTCACGCAAGGCGACAGATCCCTTGAGCGCTGGTGGCGTCCCCTGGTCATCCATCCGCATCGCAGATGCCAGGTCAGCACGCCCAAGTTCTTGGGATGGGCCCTGAATGGCGAATGCTGCTTGCAGCCATGGCTCTGGTGCCTGGTCCTCCACCAGCTTTCTCTGCTGCTGTGGCTGCAACTGCTGCTGCGGTTGCTGCTGCGGTTGCTGCTGCAGTTGCTGCTGCGGTTGGGGCGGCGGCTGCCACGGCTGAGTTCGCATTGCTGGCGGCGCCCACCTCTGCCTTTTCCACACCTGCTGCTGCTCTTGCTGCTGGTTCTGGGGCTGCTGCTGGTGCTGCTGTTGCTGCTGTTGCTGCTGCTGCTGCTGCTGCTGCTGCTCCAGCAACAGCAGCGGCTGCTCGTCGTGCTCCTCCAGCCGCTGTGGCACCACCGCGCGTCCCTGCTGCTGCTGCTGCTGCTGCTGCTGCTGCTGCGGCTGCTGCTGCTGCTGCTGCGGCTGCTGCTGCTGCGGCGGCTGCTGTTGCTGCTGCTGCTGCCGATGTTGCTGCTGCCATGCCTCCAGGAAACCCATCAAATCGCCAACGGGGATAAGGGACGGCCGCGAGTTGCCCTTGGCCCCTCGTGCTGGTGTCCACACCCGGGCTGGTGCTGCTGCTGCCCCGTCAGCGTCAAAACGGGCAGCGATAGGGTGTGCTTCTGCGTCAGCCTGGCAGGCGGCCAGCGGCCGGGTAAGGGGGCTAAGCTGGGATGTCGGGGAGGACCGTTCATAGTGCCGCTGCTGCTGCTGCTGCTGCTGTGCATTGTGTTCCTCTCGCGCAGCAGCTGTAGGGCTTGAGGGTGCACCAAGGGGCCACGCTGGCCGCCGCAGCTGCGCCGCCGGCGCCCCAATCCACGCATTAGCTGTCGAGATGTCAGTCGGCGCGGGCCCCACAGCCAGCGCAGCAGCATACTCGCCACCAACAGCCAGGTCGCCCGTATCCTCCGGGCGCCGCGCTGTGTAGGGCCGATCAGCGCCCCAGGGCTGGCTCCAGTCCGCCGCAGCAGCATCTGGCCGCGGGTCACGTGGCGTGCCATAGCGCTGCCCCGCGCGGCCGGCGCCCGCGCCTTTGCTGCGCGCAGAATTCGACGCCGGCGCCGCTGCCGGCAGTGGCAACGGCGGCGGCGGCGGCATGCCGTCGCGACTGCCGGCGAGCTCACGCGCGGCGGCGCGGGCGGCCGCCGTGGACGACAGCCGAGGGCTGGAGTGGCCGCCGGCGGAGACGGGTTTGCGGCTCCCATCAAAGGGGGCCGCGCGGGGGCTGCCGGCGCCCCCGCCGCTCGCCCAAGCGTGCCAGGCTGAAGGGGGTGAGCTGGCGCTTCTCCGGCGGGACGGGCTGACGTTGCGGGCGAGGCTTGAGGCCTCAAAGACGGGCGCCGCTGATCCCGGCCGGGCGACGCGGGCTGAAATAAGATGAGGCAGGGCAGGGCAGGAGATGGTGCATTCACAGGCTACTCGGCAGCAGTCGGGATGGTGCAGGTGCGACGCAGCCCTGCAGATACCATCGAACCGCAAGCGGGCGCCTACAAGACCATTATGCAAGCGCGACAGCAACGGACGGATGGAGGCCCCAGCGCCCGCCGCGCCCACCTGACGCGTGCTTGATGCTGCCCAGCAGCGCGTCCAGCCGCGTGCGGTGGTCCCCCTCCTCTGCCAGCGCTTTGGAGCCGCTGCCCACCGCGATCAAGCTCCTTGCCGGCGGCGACCGACCCCGCCGCGCCGCCCGCGCCCACGGCAGCGGCCCCTCGCCGGCCGCGGACGCCTCCCTGCCGCGCTCGCTGGCGCGGCGCCACTTGCGAAGAGCAGAGCCCGGGGAGGCCGCGCGCCCGCCGCGCGGGGAGCCCGCCATGAGAGCCGCCGCGCGCCGCGCAGCCGCGAGGCGCTCGGTGGCGGCCGGGGATGCGCTCCTACTCGTGTCGCCGCCGCCCCTTTGGGCAAACCCGGGGTGCTTGGACGGGGTTGAGCCCCGCCCACGGCACGGCGCGAAGCTCAGCGACGCTGCACCGTCATCGGAAGCGCCGCCTGCGCCGCTGCCGACGCCGCAGCTGTCGCCGTCAGGCCTGCGCTGCACGGCATTGTCGAATCGGCCCCAGGGGCCTGCCTCTGCGCCAGGCCGACCTGCCTCTGTGGATGGCTGGCTGAGGCTCTCGCGTAGCAGCTGCCGCTTCACCCGGTCACCCGCTGGCTCCTGGCCCCGAGCAACGCCGCCGCTGCCGGTGCCTATGGCCAGTGCCAACGTCTGGATTGCAAAAGGCTCTGCTGGCTGCATGCCATGCGCCCTGTGGCGGCCTTGGCCGGGCTGCCAGCCTGCTGCCGGCCGCCGCGGTTCGTCGCTGCCGACGCCGCCGCCGGGCCTGTCGGAAATCCTGAAATGCAGCCTGGGCGGACTGCCGCTGCTGCTGCCGCGGCCGGCGGCTGCTGGGGACGCACTGGCCGGCCTCCGGCCCCGTGGCTGCCCTCGGGCTGCGCCCCCGCCCCCATCGTCCTCGTACCAAGAAATCCAGCGGGAGTTGGGCGGCAAGCCGTCAGGTGAGGGGTAGCGGTGGCCCGGCGGGCTGGGCTGCCGGCGGACGGCGCCATCACTGGCATCTCCGTTGGACCAGCCAAACCTTTGCGGGTTCAGATGCGTTGCATGGTCACGAATGTGTTTGTAAAGGTCCACGGCGTGTGTGGGGCGGTGCTGCACAGGCTGCATGCCATGCACGGCTTGCTGCAGCAAGCAAATACGGTAACCTGCATTTCAAATGGCCGTTTGTTTGCCCCGAGACTCTGCGCGGTCACCTTGCAGCCCGCTGCACCTCCGCCCACATCTGCAGACCCTCTTCGCTGTCAGAACTGCTGCTGCTGCTGCTGCTACTGCTGCCGCCAACAGCCGCCCCGGTGCGACCATCGCCACCGGCGCGGCCGGCGGTGCCGAAGATCTGCGGCGTTCTGCGCCCCTCCCACGCTTGGCCGCTGGAGGCGGGCACGTATGTCCCGAGCTCCCTCCCCCTTGCCCGGGAGCGCCGCTGCCTAAGCTCTGCCGCCGCTGCCGCCGCGAGGCCCTCCTGCATATGTCGCGCAGACTCTGTCCCGACAGCCGCGCTGGCTGCACGTCGGCGCGCCCCACCGAGCGGCGTGCGTTCGCCAGGGGCGGGCGGCGTCCGCACGGTCCCCAGCAGCGGCGGCACTGTCGGCGCGGCAGCTGCTGTGGCCCGCCGCAGGTCGCGCCGCTGCATGGGGGAGTGCGTCTCCGCGGTATCGGCAGGCTGGGCTCGTCCGCCTCTGCGAAAGCCGCCGCTCGAGCCGCCCGTGTATCCACGAAGCCCCTGCAGCGCGCCGGCCATCCCCTCGTCGCTGCTGCTGCTGCTTTTGCTGCTGGCCCCTCCGCCCGCTCCGCCCATGTTGCTGCCGGACACGCCCCTTGCCCTGCTCTGGCGTGCAGCGACGCCTGCCATCTGCGAGTCGGGCGGCGGCATGCCCGGGGAGCCTGGGGGTCCCCCATCCATGCCCCCCTCGTACCCAGGCAAAACCCGTCCCCTGCCGCCGCCCGCATTTGCGTTGCTCAACAGCCGCTGCCGCCCCGCCGTCGGCTCCCGCACACCCGCTCCGCCACTGCCAGCAACAACGGGCCCGCGGGCGCGTGATATCATAGCTTCTGCTGATGCTGCGATGTCCTGCAGCCTTGCGGCAGCATCCAGCGACGTGCTGCGTGGTGCGGGAGCACCCGCAGGCTGCAAGACATCGTCCAAACTGCTGCCCCAACCATCGTCGTGCCTGGCCAGCGGCTGCTGCGCAAAGTGATGCGGGCCAGGACCGCCCTGCGTGCTGTTCGGCGGCCAGCTGCGCCCGCCGCCCAAGCTGGCGCGCTGAGCATCTGCAAAGCCGCCGCGCTGCGTCCGGCCTCCGTCAAGCCACGTGTTTGCCGCGGAAGCGCGGCTGGTACTGTGCTGCTCGCGAGTTGCGCCTGGCGGCAGTGTTGGGCTGCGGGCACGGCCATACAGCTTCTCGGCCAACTCTGTCGCACGCCGATCAATAATTGAGCTGGGTGCCGACGGCTGCCGCTGCACGGGCTGCAGCTGAGGCCGCGGCGGCGGGCTGGCGACGTCGGCGCTGCTCGCTCTTGCGAGGTGAGCAGCGGCCTCCGACGCACGCAAGGCGCGCAGGTGGGCATACGGCGATGGTGAACGGCTGGCGTCGGGTGGCGAAGGTGGCCTGGGGATTCCATCGGCATCCCTAGGCGCACGGCTAGGGCGGTGAGCCGGCGGCTGCTGCCGAGCCGGGCCCCTGGGCACGGACGCACGCTGGGGAGGAGGACTGGCTCGCGGGCTGCTGTCATCGTCGCTGCTCACGCGGCTAGCGCGCATGTAGCGCTGCCGTAGTGACGCAGCAAGTGGGAGTGGCAAGGTTTTGTCTTTAAAAGGACTTTATATGACCATGGCACGGGTCGTCACGCACTTGGAGTCGCGACACGGTGTCCTCACACATCAACACAACTCAACTCAACTGAACTCAACACAACACAACACAGCACAGCACAGCACAGCGCAACGCAACAAGAAACAACGCCAAACCTAACCCTTGTGCACTATGTCAGTGCAACTGCGCTGACGCACCTGCACCAGCAGGCTGGCATAGCTCGGATCCATGCAGTACTAGCTTGTGCTGCTGCTCTGATGCCCCTGCTGCTGCAGCTGCGGCTGCTGCTGCGGGAATGGTGTTGACTCTCCAGCCTTGCTGAGTCCTGGTAGCGTGTATGATACGCGCTGCTGCATAGCATAGCTATTGCAGCACACCGTCAGAAATGCCTGCTGCGCAACAACGCAAGTATCAGGGAACCTGTCAATCCATCAGTGCTGCATAATATAAGACCGCTTGTAAGCGGCCCGATCGCCGCTCTGCAGTCTGCAGCCGGTGCTTGACTCAACGCACAGCTTGCTTGGACTGCTATAAGTGCAGTTGGTACTATGTCGTGCCACTGAAGCGTGAAGAGCAATTGCGTTGTTGCGCGCTCAGTGATCTATCGCATTCAAATTAGTGTCATTCCGTTCACGGCCCTCGTGCTCTTGTTTGTCGTTGTATCCTAGCCACGGGGTGTCTTCGCCACCAGTGATGAGCCACATTCCACATTGGCGTAAGTTGATGAGGCTGGGGAACAGCTGCTCGGGAAGAAGCGCCTGCCGCCGTATGCGCCCCCCATTCATGCCGCTCATCTGGTCCCTGCCATCTTATGCGACCAGCACTCTCATCCAGAAATGAGAAGCAGTAATCCCACAGCATGTACGCAGCAGTTTGCGCAGTTTTCGCGACCGGCGAGCCCGTAGGCCGCGGCAATGCTTCATGCAGCCAGGCACATCGCTGCCAGCATACAGCGCTGCTGACCACGATGAGAACGCACGGGCGGACGTGGACGAATGCTGGAGTGACTTAGAAGGGGACAAAACAGAGTCTGAGCTGCTGGCAGCCATACAAAATCAGCAGCGGCGGCGGCATCGGCACGAGAAGGAACAGCAGCAAAAGGAGGGCCGGCGGCGATGGCGGCAGCAGCAACAGCTGCAGCACAAGCACACGCAGCAGCAGTCACTGCAGCATGAGCAGCAGCAGCGCGGATTGGAGCAGCACACAATGGCTGACAATGCTGTTTCGTGCCTGCCCGCGCCCTTCCCGGACCTTGCCGAGCAGCAGGCATACTAGAGCCTTGGCGACCAACGGGGACCAGTTGCGCCATGAGTGGGTGAAGCGGCGGCGCAGCCGTCTGATGA